ATAAATATATTTTAACATCAATGGATAAACTTCTTTTAATTTAGAAAAAAAAAACAAATAATTAAAGCCCATCCCAAAACTAAAAACATCCCAAGCCCAACACCCCCTTCTTCTTCTTCTTCTTCTTCTTCTTCTTCTTCTTCTACGCTACCCCTTCTTTTGGGTCCTGGCGCAGAGTTTACAGATCAGAAAAAAAAAAAAATGTGGCGCAGCTCTTCCTTCATCTTCTTCTTCTTCTTCTTCCTTGGCCGAATCCGAGCAACACAGGTCCTGTTTACTTTCAAATTTTCCAAAAAATTCTTGCCGAATCCGATTGAAAGTTGAAGAATCGGACTCGCATTCCGTACCGGTACCCGGGTCGTGTCGTGTCGACACGGGTACCTGGCCGAAATGGAGAGTCCGAGCAACATAGCGTTTGAATGAGAAAATATGGCAACTTTAATAACAAACTAATTGTATGTAGACATGTTAAGACTTTAGTCAAACTTAAATCAATAGAACCTTGATATATAACGACTTCAATGGCTGAGTTAAGGCATTTTGACAAAATACAAAACAAATAAATTGAGGGAGCTTTCATTAATTCTTATCAAAATTTCTTTTTTAAATCACTCCTCAGCTAAGTCACAGGAAGCAACCAACTAATTATTGATAATCATTTGACCTTGATGTGCAAAATGATTCTCAAAGCCCCCAAATTTGTAACAGCTTAGACTTAAAATGCTAGTTCTCTACCATGGAGGGATTAAAAAATAAAGTCACCACATTTAAAAACCTAAAATACAATAACATAGAAAAAGAGACAGAGAGAGAGCTCCACTAGAAGATTGTTTCTTTATCTGGCTAGTGCAAGCTAATGGCATAAGTTGGTCATTCCCTAAGTTCTCCAGCTGAAACGAAGTCTAGATAGTTACTTCTGTTAGAAAAGGTCAGACAACATCCAAACAAACCACTCAAACAAGTAACACGAACATATGTTGCAAATTATCAGTCCTTGGCCTCCATCTACACTAGTTCGGGCAGTATGCAGTAAACTTCACCCGCTAAACATTGATATTATTGATTATCCTCCAAAAACTGTGAAAATTCTCCAATAATTAAACTCAGTAGCTTATAATGCCATGCAAAACAATCATATTAAGAATCACAGCCAAAATCTTACAGTAGGCCTCTTTATTTTCTGAACTAAGAACCAAAAAATCACCTTTTGAATGTGAATTCTTTTGGATAATTCCCTTAATGGATATTCCATCCGACAGAGATGTTCAATTACTCACAGAAGAAAGACAAATTATAACAAAATCAGACTCATCATCCTTGGAAGGTTAAAAATAAGGAAAATCACAAGAATCTCACCCTCGAATGCAGGAATTTCACCCTCGAGTGCAGTCCCTCAGTTCATCATCAAAAATCTTGGTCCTTGCATAGCCAAAGATGTGAACTTCGTCTGATTGCAAAATCCCTAACACCCCAACCAAGTCAGAAACTAGAATTTAAGACATCTATTAAGTTCCACCATTTAATGAAATGCCATCTTCCCAATTTTCTTTTTCAATACGTGAAATGAGCACTGAGTAATCACTTCTATGATTCCTAGTCATTCCCATGTTTCAATTTTAACTCTCCATCACCAATATGCTTAGAGCTCAATGAGATAATGGTAGATAACAGATATAAAGGCATGTTTGGCAACTGTGAATAGAAATGAGTAATAAACTCTTTTTGAATGAGGGCACTCTCAGTATTACATACCTAATTTCCAATAATCAGATAAATTGCTTATGGGAATCCTTCTGCAATTGAAGCCTCACTCAGCCATCGCTATAGACCAATCCTTCTGCGAACTGCGAGACTGGCGTAGCTTCTGGGATGAATTCATCGACTTCTGGACAAAATTGACCCTAACCTAATGTTGGGAGAGAAGTGCTAGGTGAAGAGGAGTTCGACCCATGTGGTCCGCGACTTTGGGTCAACCGGATGAAGCCTGAATTTGAAAATTTTGGACCGGCGTAAAGGGCTTCGCGACTGACGGCATTTCTTTGATTAATTCAGATTGTGTAGATGTTGTTTGGGGTAAATTGGAACCATGGTTGAGGTCGTTTAGATCTGGGCAATGTTCTAGTGGTGAGCTCCGGTGAAGTTGCTAGCCGAAGGTGGCAGTTCCTGTAATTTTTCAGATTTTGAGGTTGGGCACTTTGTGTTTCGATTCTGGCCAGATTACTTGGAATTAGAATGTGATTTTTGGTGTGAATTGAAGAGGAGATTGGAGGCTTCCCACCAGCAACAATGTCCGGTGGTTTGGGTGGTCGGAAAATCAACTGATAGTTGTGGCTGAAAAGGGTTAAAAATCAGCCCGATAGAATTTACAAAGACTTCCACCTTTTTGGATGATTTAGAGGGGTTGTTTAACTTTTTGCAACGTTTTTAAAACGTTGCGAAATTATCAGAATAATTAAAAAAAATTGCAAAAAAGGTCTTTCGCAACGTTTTTTAAACGTTGCGCTGTCTTCCGCAACGTTTAAAAAACGTTGCGGAAAATAAAATATTTCACAACACTTAAAAAACGTTGCAAAAAGATAGCATTAGCAACATTCACTTAAAAAATGTTGCCACAGTTCAATTTTGTTAAGCAATAGCAACATTCATGTATTAGAACGTTGCAATTGACNGCAACATTCACGTATTAGAATGTTACGATAGACCCATTTAGCAACATTTAACTACCAAATGTTGTCTTTTATGTGTTGTAAATGATCATTTTTTGGCGTAGTGACCGAAGACTTTGGAGGCAAAAAGTGCTTAATTATGTGTGAAATATGTGAAGCCAAAAATGAATAGGCAACAAAAGGAAAATTAGCACATTATGCTAAATTTTCCCCAAAAGCAATCATCGATTGCGGGTGTCACGTGGCACTGCTCCGGCAAGAATGTGGAAAAAACCGCACAATAGTAAATCCTAAGTGAACGGAGAAATAAACTAGAAAAGCTCTCACGATTTGAGTCTTAACCAATGGAAGAATTACAGGATGATAATTTATAAAAATTTAAATGATAGTCATTCACACAAAAGGCCAGAAGGCCAATCATCCAGGGAGAATGTGATGTATCAGTTGCCATCGAATTAAACCAGTGGCTGATTTCCTCATCAATGAACGAATCTCGAAATGATATAGGCAATTGTGAACTTAAGTAGCATCATGTAGAAGAAATACAAATCCATCAGAAGTTATTTTATACAATTTAAATATATGATGTTTGCTAGTGAGATTGAGCCACATGAAGAGACGAAGGAAATGTTGTGGAACGGCCTATGACCAGGCACTCCCATCTGGAGTGCTGCCCGCAAAAGATGTCGATTCTTTATTCCCCAATTAATAGACCTTATATTTAATGATGTCTATGTAGAAGACGTGCTGGAGAATCAAAGGAGGATGCAAAATTAGAGAACGATAGAACAAAATCCTGTCGAGGAGACTAGAGGAAAAACAATGACGTTCACATCTCAACTGTCCAGATCACTGTGCCACAGTTCCAAATAATCAAGGACCCGATATACATTGTTACCGTACCCTCTTCACAGGATGTCTTTGAAGCCTACTTACTTCCCAAAAGACAGAGATCAAAATTCTACAAAATCCATTTTACTGATAGTCATGATACATATGAATGCTATGAAGTGCTAAAAATGACCAAAAAAGGGAACAAGCAAAGAGGTGCAACTATTACACCAAGAGGCCAAAGGCCTACACATCTAATAAAGTATATAGGGTCATCTCATATGCTAGCCAAGGCCGTGAGCACCCAACCTTCATTAAGAATAATCAAAACCCATATGTGGGAGAAGGTAGGGAAAACACGCATAACACGAACTCCTAAGTACCCAGGGAGCAATACTTTGAAGATTTTTGGATCTAAGGTAACCTAGAAAACTGCAACTCTATTGACTATATCGGGTAAATGTGTAGGGAACCAAATGTCTTTCAACCTGACACATTCTGAAAAATGAATGAAGGCTTTATTTATCTTTCGCAAGTAAATCCCCTAACATCCCATTCGAAATTGATCCAATTCAGGGTAGAAAACCCAAGACAATTGTGGCTGGACATTCTAAGCGATGTTGCCAAAGCAAATAGTTGGGTTCCTTAGAAACCAAGTATCTTGACAAAAATGATGGTGAAAGAAAGAGCAATGCATGCTTGAAAATCTTTGTTTAGGAAATCAAGTATCAAATGTTGTGAAGGGACGGGTGAAAAACCTACCCACCAATAAAGATAACTTAGCAAGTACTAGAGGAAGCATGAGCAAAGGAAGAAAAACGAAAAATATTGCCCTCATGACAAAGTCGCATTGATGAAAAAGGCG